ATACGTCTAAATTGTTGGAGAGGAATTCTTGAGAGATGGGTTAACGAGTGTCGATATTTAGGGTTTTCGATTAATTTTTCAGCATGCTTAATAAGGTGTGAAAGTTCATTTCCACAAGCAGCTTTAGTTCCACAAGTAGCTTTGGTATCTTCAACAAACTTGACTGTTTTTTGGATGAGGTGAGATTTGAGTTCAGCTGGCTCCATGACTTGAGGATTATTTTCTGTGGTACAGAAAAATATACCATGCCAATCGAGTACATCCTTATATGTTTCAGGATTAGGATGTGATATTGGGTCTTCGGATGTTAGTGTTGGTGCTGGTGAAGGTATATTTTCCACTTCAACTTCTTCTTCTTCTTCTTCTTCATCTTCAATGGACGAATCAGAGGATGTTTCTGGTGGAAAGGCTTCTGATTGGTCAGTTTCGTTGAGGAGTGGAGGCGATGGAGACTTCTCATTGGACGTTGTTGGAGTGACGTCACTAGTTGTTGATGGTGTTGGAGCTGCAGGTGTAGAGGTGTTGATTAAGTCCTTGGTGAATTTTAGTATTTCTTCCGAAGGTGGAGATGCTGGGAATATGAATGATGGCATATTATTTAGTGCAAATAACTCATTGATGGTCGAGTTAAAAGATCCAGGTACAGCCATATTTTGCATGTGAGCGTATATGAGACAGTAGTGGATCTTGGTTACGTCACAAGCTGGAGGAGTGATGATGGTGGAGGCTGGCTGAGTAGTAGCTTGAAGTAATTTCGTAGTATTAGCTTGGATCTTTGCAATTGCTGCATACGTTGGTGTGTTGCTATTAGGTTTTTTCTTTGCTGCTTCTTGTGTTTTCTTCACAATATCCTTTCGTGTAGGACATTTTGCTGCCAGTGTATGGTGGTCGTTACTTTTACAGTTTAAGCACGATGGTTGTGGTGGAGTAGCAATGGTGCAGGAACTGAAGGTGTGTCCCTCACTACCACATGTAGTGCAGAACTTCTTGTCTTTTACTGGACATGCTTTGGTGGTGTGATGGTAAGAATAACAGTTCCAGCAGTGTTGGATGTACTGATATCTCTCTGCTTCGATGTAAGTTGGACTGATGAAGTAGTAGTAAACAGCAAGACCTTCGTTCAGAGCAGTGGCAGCCATGTTAACGTCGGTGAAGGTGACCTTGAGCATGGACGATGCATTCGGGATTTTTGTGATGCTGTCAACAGTAGCCCAAGTATTTTGAGTCTCGATGGATGTCTTGAGTTCTGCAGGTGATAGAGACGTCAGAATCTTGTCCAGTTTTTTGAGGAATACTGATTTCCTGGCCTTGAGGGCAGGAGATGACATAACAGTAAACCCTTGAGCAGTGAGTGTAGTGGTGGCATCTGTAGTGAGTAGCTTCTCTGCTTCAGCATCATCGTGACACACAACAATGAATGCTTCTTTCAGAGACAAAATGGTGTTGAATTTAACTTTCAGTGTTCCTTGAACAACAGTTGCAAGAGCAATCTTCGTTGAATCATCAACGGTACCACTTGTTGGCTTGATCTTGACACGATTTGCGTAGCTCATCGTGCAAGTCAAGGTGAAGACAACGCTGGTAAAGGTTCCCCTCCCCAACGGGGATCGTAGGGAGACTGAGTAAGTAAGGAGAGCTGCTATGACCTGCCAGGGCAAGAGTCAAGAGCAGAATTCCGTCTGTCTGCCTACCTCGCCTCATTTGACTCGTATTTATACAACGTTCCGTGGTATATTTGTATATACACCTGTCATGCCATAAAGTACCGTAGTAAAAACTTGAATACTTTTGACATATATTAAAAATCGTGTTATATATTTGGATACTTCTGAGATGTTATTAGTGCCATGGTAGCCATAGGGATACTTCTGAAATGATATTAATTACCCTTTATGAGTGAATACTTATTGATAAAAAATATCATACCAGAACATCTTAGCTTGGTATTTCAGGTAGATATATGAGAGTTCCTTAAGAGGACTTTTGGACACTTCATGAGAACAGTTTTAAAAAGCTGTATTACTGGGCGCTCTGAAATAATGTTTAAAGCTATAAGAAAGAATTTTTTCGTTCTGATAATTTTGTAATACACAGTATTACATTTCAATCATGATTTTCCCAATAAATCGAAGCTTTCTCCTTACCAAGGGGTGAGTAGAGAGAAGCATCCGAAGGCTCTCACCTGATTGTCCCGTATAAATAGCCTCTGCGACCTGTAACCTGAGGAGCATCCAGGGCCATCTCTTCCCTGTGTTGTTGACTCCCAGGTGAGCATTATTCTCTGTTTATGCTCCGATAACCCTTACAAATGGAGAACATATTGCATTTATCCCCCGACTCCCACGAAGGAGTATAATTCCACTGTATGCTGAAGACACTCTCCAAACTCCGTTTTTGAGTTCAATTACCTATCTTGTTTGTTAATACAGGCATATTATAATTCAGTTTATTACTGAGTTTTAGCATTTAAGAAAAACATTTTAATATCATTAGTCTTTTAAAATTGTCTTCCAGAAAAATATTTCAAAAACTTTGTAGAGAGGTTGGATGAACTTTTGTCTTTTGATATGTAGCATATTCTGTAAATGTCTATAATATCAGCAACAATGCGCTCTTCCGAAACAAGCCTCAGGTAAATGACGGTAGTATAAATTATCATAAAAAGTTGTATTTTTTCTTGGATTGCAGGGGATCAAACTGTGGGCAAGAATTTACCTGTTCACCTTTCTGCCAATCATGCTAATGGGAGCTTCATAAGAAGAGCTCAGGCCTTGTTATAAGGGCGGGAGGTCTATGTAAAGACTCGCAGTCTATTATCGAAGTTGATGACCGCTTCCAACCTGAATGTGAAGGGAGGAGGAAAATTGGGAGAGTGCTGGGAGGAGGATTGAGGATAGCGAGGGGAAGGGCTGAAGAGAAAAGTCTCATCGAAAAGGAAGTTAGTCAACAAATTACTGCCACAACTCCCCCAACCTCCGAGAACCTCTCTGGCTCCGTCGTGACTTGGGTATATTGCCTCTCTTCCTCGCATCTCATAGCTGCTGCATGCTACCACATGCAAATTAGGAGACTTCAGTGAGGAAAGCACTCGGAGGTCTTCTGAAGGAGGGAGAAAATAGAGGAGTGACAATTGCTTTTCGGACACATGGTGACAAATTCATTCATAAATAAAATGTTAAACATGCACGTATATAATAATAAAAAATAACTTTGCGCACACACACACACATACACACACACACACACACACACACACACACACACACACACACACACACACACACACACACACACACACACACACACACACACAAAGTAAGACACGAGAGAGGGATGGGCTGATTACATCTTCTTGGGGTGCAAGAAGTCCTTCGACACAATCCCTCACGAGAGATTAGAGCAAAAGCTAGAGGATAAGGCGCGTATAACAGGAAGCGCACTGCAATGAATCAGAGAATATTTGACAGGGAAGCAACAAGAAGTCATGGTACGTGATGAGGTATCACAGTGGGCACCTGTGACGAGCGGGGTCCCACAGAGGTCGGTAATAGGACCAGTGCTATTTTTGGTATATGTGATTGACATGATGGAAGGGATAGACTCAGAAGTGTCCCTGTTCGCAGATGATGTGAAGTTAACGAGGTGAATTAAATCAGATGAGGAACAGGCAGGACTTCAAAGAGACCTGGACAAGCTGGACACCTGGTCCAGTAACTGGCTTCTCGAATTTAACCCCGCCAAATGCAAAGTCATGAAGATCCGGGAAGGGCAAAGAAGACCGCAGACGGAGTATAGGCTAGGTGGCCAAAAACTGCAAACCTCACTCAAGGAGAAAGGTCTTGGGGTGAGTATAACACCGAGCATGTCTCCTGAAGCATACATCAACCAGATAACTGCTGCAGCATACGGGCGCCTGGCAAGCCTGAGAATAACATTCCGATACCTTAGTAAGGAATCGTTCAAGACAATGTACACCGTGTACGTCAGGCCCATGCTGGAGTATGCAGCACCAGTTTGGAACCCGCACCGGGTCAAGCACGTTAAGAAATTAGAGAAAGTGCAAAGGTTTGCGACAAGGTTAGTTACAGAGCTAAGAGGAATGTCCTACGAAGAAAGGTTAAGGGGAGTCGGACTGACGACACTGGAGGATAAGTGGGTTAGGGGAGACATGATAACGACATACAAAATACTGCTTGAAATAGACAAGGTGGACAGAGACAGGAAGTTCCAGAGAGGGAACACAGAAACAAGGGGTCACAATTGGAAGCTGAAGACTCTGATGAATCAAAGGGATGTTAGGAAGTATTTCTTCAGAGTTGTCAGGAAGCGGAATAGTCTGGGAAATGAAGTAGTGGAGGCAGGAACCATACATAGATTTAAGACGAGGTATGATAAAGCTCATGCAGCAGGAAGAGAAATGACCTGGAAGCTGTCAGTGAAGAGGCGGGGCCAGGAGCTGAGTCTCGACCCCTGCAACCACAAACAGGTGAGTACAACTAGGTGAGTACACACACACACACACACACACACACACACACTGGGACTCGGCAACAAGGGGTCACAGTTGGAAGTTGAAGACTCGGATGAATCACAGGGACGTTAGGGAGTATTTCTTCGGTCACAGAATTGTCAGTAAGTGGAATTGTCTGGGAAGTGATGTAGTAGAGGCAGGTTCCATACATAGCTTTAAGAAGAGGTATGATAAGCTCATGGAGCAGGAAGAGTGACCCAGTAGCGGCCAGTGAAGAGGCGGGGCCAGGAGCTATGACTCGACCCCTGCAACCACAACAACTAGATGAGTACACACACACACACACACACACACACATACACACACACACCACACACACACACACACATACACACACACACACACACACACACACACACACACACACCACTATATCTGGGTATTTGTCAGTGTTTCTGAAAAATTTGCCATCGCCTTAAGTATCACATTCACCTTTAAAAGCGTCTTTTTCTCCCTTTTTTTCGTGCAGAGTCAGACCTCGGTGGCCAGCTACGCCCCCAAGAGCCACTTGGATTATGGGACGCTCCTGTGCTGGGCCTTCAATACCATCGGAGAGCAGAGCGTTCCCTGCGCGTTTGCTATCATCCCTGCAGGTAAGTATATATGTGCCTGTGAATGTTGATGCTTTTGGAGTTAGTAGGGAGGGAAGTGGTGTTGACTTGGGGTTGTGATAGCCTTGATCAAACATTTTAGCAACAATATCCGGATATGTAAAGATATTTACAATTGAATATAGATGGTAATACTGAGAAGGTGATACAACACAATAATACCGAGGAAGCTAAATATATTTATGACTCGTATATGTACTTCTAAACGCGAATTTGTGAATATTGTTTAACATAACTACATTAGAAAACTGTAATACAGAAGTGAATCTATATAACATTTAAGAACTATACAAATATACCCAAGATCGTTCAGCTGCCTCCCAGCATACATAAGGGGGATAACCAATAGACCCCTGGCTGTCTTCAAGAAGGCACTGGACAAGCACTTAAAGTCAGTACCTGACCAACCGAGCTGTGGTTCGTACGTCGGCTTGCGTGCAGCCAGCAGTAACAGCCTGGTTGATCAGACTGATCATCCGCGAGGCCTGGTCTCAGACCGGGCCGCAGGGGTGTTGGCCCCCGAAACCCTCTCCAGGTATGCTCCAGATAGTTTGTTAAAACTAGGGCAACCGTAAGTTTTTGGTCATTCCAGGTGGATCCTGAAAAAAAAAATAACAGCTCAACCTTCGTAATGCAAGTAATGCCTTGATCGTGGGACTGGTGTTGGTGATGATGATACCCATGTTGATGATGAGTAAGGTGATGGTGATGAGTCAGGTGATGGTGAATGAGGAGTCAGGTGATGGCAAAGAAATAACTGACCCTGAAGGCTGTAAATGAAACGGCAGTGTACAACTGGAGCCCAAAAAAATGTTTTCTTTAGTTAAATTCGCATAGGTGGCATGGATATACTATTATGATTTTCACTGTGGAATGTTTTATTTATTTTTTCTACTTTGTTTGATTGCGTGCTATAACATGAAAAAGTCTCTTCACTTTGCCATGCAGCTATCTGCACTTGTATATTTTTCCAATGGAAAGAGTTTTCTTGTAACTGATCTATTGGTGGCCGATTGTTGGTTCACATACTTCTTACAAGGGAGACGGGGAGACAACGAGATAATTTCATAAAACAAATTCCTATACAGAATGAAAGTCATAAAACCGTGGCAGCTACGGTGAAAAGCTCTGTTCCACAAGGCACAGTACTCGCTCCCATCTTGTTCCTCATCCTCATATCTGACATAGACAAGAATGTCAGCCACAGCACCGTGTCTTCCTTTGCAGATGACACCCGAATCTGCATGACAGTGTCTTCCATTGCAGACACTGCAAGGCTCCAGGCGGACATCAACCAAATCTTTCAGTGGGCTGCAGAAAACAATATGAAGTTCAACGATGAGAAATTTCAATTACTCAGATGTTGTAAACACGAGGAAATTAAATCTTCATCAGAGTACAAAACAAATTCTGGCCACAAAATAGAGCGAAACACCAACGTCAAAGACCTGGGAGTGATCATGTCGGAGGATCTCACCTTCAAGGACCATAACATTGTATCAATCGCATCTGCTAGAAAAATGACAGGATGGATAATGAGAACCTTCAAAACTAGGGAGGCCAAGCCCATGATGACACTCTTCAGGTCACTTGTTCTATCTAGGTTGGAATATTGCTGCACACTAACAGCACCTTTCAAGGCAGGTGAAATTGCTGACCTAGAAAATGTAGAGAACCTTCACGGCGCGCATAAAGAAGATAAAACACCTCAATTACTGGGAGCGCTTGAGGTTCCTAAACCTGTATTCCCTGGAACGCAGGCGGGAGAGATACATGATTATATACACCTGGAAAATCCTAGAGGGACTAGTACCGAACTTGCACACGAAAATCACTCACTACGAAAGCAAAAGACTTGGCAGACGATGCAACATCCCCCCAATGAAAAGCAGGGGTGTCACTAGCACGTTAAGAGACCATACAATAAGTATCAGGGGCCCGAGACTGTTCAACTGCCTCCCAGCATACATAAGGGGGATTACCAACAGACCCCTGGCAGTCTTCAAGCTGGCACTGGACAAGCACCTAAAGTCGGTTCCTGACCAGCCGGGCTGTGGCTCGTACGTTGGTTTGCGTGCAGCCAGCAGTAACAGCCTGGTTGATCAGGCTCTGATCCACCAGGAGGTCTGGTCACAGACCGGGCCACGGGGGCGTTGACCCCCGGAACTCTCTCCAGGTAAACTCCAGGTAATATAAATATATATATATATATATATATATATATATATATATATACCCCTCATTGGGAAGAAGAAACTGTAGACAACGTTTCTTTCCGGAATGAACAAGTTTCCAGCCAAAAGTGTGATATTTGCAAACTGATTTTGATTTTTTTATCTTAAATTATGCCACTAGGTGTAGAGGTGCAAGACAGTCGGGGATACAATGTTCCAACGTACAAATATATTTTTTTTTACCTTATTTATTATAGACAGCTTTATTGTGTCAAGCCGCTGATTTCAAGAAAAGTAATTATAAAAATGTGTTTTATGATAAAAATGCTGTACTACTGTTATTTTGGCTATGTATTCTGTTTCCCTGTCAACTAAAGAAAAATGCATTTCTATTCATATTCCTAATTAGTTTACTGACAATTTATTGCTGCGGTTGCATGTTATGCTGCAATATAAACATTCGGAGAGAAAAATGAAGCAAAATTCTTAGAATGGAGGAATTAGAGTAGTGCCAGAGCCTAAATCATTATACCAGACAGAAGTGTCCTTTAAAATGTATTGCAATTAGAGGCCTGTGTAGGCCTATTAATCATTCCTCATTTTCTTTCACCTCACCGATCCTCTCGTGTCTTCACTTTCCTTCACCTTTTCCCTTATTCCTCATCAATTTCCTCATTCATTCATTCATTCATTTTCCTTCACCCTTCTCATTATTCCTCCCTCCTTCATCACTCCACCTTCAGTCCCCAAACACAAAAAAGCACTCACATGTAGATATGCATACACACACAAGGACATGCAAGTGCACATACACGCATAAACACACGCGCGTGCACACACACACACACACACACACACACACACACACATACAACCATTAGGAAAATTATAGCTCCGTGCTATACTAATTTCATTCATCAACATGGCGCTGACTAGCTCCTGCGAATTCACACATGTATTTCGTTTTATGTTGAGAGAATAAACCATTTCTGTTGATGAACTTTCTTTGTCTCCTTTTTCATTTTCACGCAAGAGGGAAGAGATAATGTAGCGTGGGATACTGTTGCTGTTCGGAAGGTTGGGCCAGACGTGAGGTATTTTGTTGGTGGTGGTGGTAAGGGCGTAGAGGGAATGTGTGTGTAGGATCTTCCAGGGGAGGTTTTTTTCTGGGGGGTGGGGGGGATGGGAGAAGGGGATCCTAAGGATTCTCCTGGGAAGTCACGATCACTGGGGCATTTCGTAAAGATCTCTATTTCTCGCTTTTATTTTTAAAGGGGGACTTCCCAGGAGTTCTTCGGGGATAGAGGGGGATGGGGGAAGGTGTGGTCATAGCTTTGTACCCATTAGTTGTTTCCCATGAGTTTTCTCTCTTTCAAAGTTTGATCAGACCTCGCATTGATAACACAAGTTACGAGCTACAGAACAAGCCACATGGGGATGGAAATCTTTAGCTCAAGATCTTTCGCACACTTTGTGCGCTATCAGGTACTATGCAATGTTGAAAGACTAGCAACCGATAAAGAATTCTTCCCCCCCTACTATCTGTTGCTAGTCTTGCAACATTGCATAGCTCCTGACGACACACGAGTGCGAAAGATCTTGAACTAAAGATTTCCATCCCCATGTGACTTCTTCTGTATTGTTAAGATCGTTTGTTTGCGATTCTATTGCAACATTAAGATCTATTTTAGTTTGCTCATCAACTGTTATACACTTGCACCTCCATATCCTCATTTTTTTTGTCTCTCATTTCTCTCGGAAACACAGAATAATACTGCGTCACACAATTAATATAAATACATACAGTAATAATTAACTGTGGTTAGAAACATAAATTTCGACTTTACTCATCCACTCATCACCTCTGGTGGGCAATGAAGTGCTTCCGGCTTCTCCCTATGCCTATACAGTGTGACAATTTTCGGATCGCCCACCCATCTCAGGCCGGACCACCTCCGGCCCACCACCAAAACGACCATGGCCTAAACGACCACGGATAGCACAGTCTCGGTTACCTCTTGCTCTTTCCAGAAACGACCAGCACGACACTTACTTTCTTGGCACTGTTTCACGGTACTCAACGGATTAAGTTCTTCACGATCCAACCGACAACCCTCACTGACTGTCTTTCAGATCATAGTATCAGCAAGGCACTCCTATGTCATGTTGGTCAAAATATTTCATTTCATGCTCTTAAAAGTGGTGTATACATCATGGTGCAAAATGCTGGACAGGCTCACAGTCTTTCCATTCTTTCCTCCATTGATAATATTCCTGTTACGATTCATCAGCACATTTCTCTCAATTATTGCAGTGGAACCATAGTTCTTCCACATACCATTGATCAACGTAATTTCCTGACTTGTGATGCTGATATTTTGGAGCAACTTGAGCTCCAAGACGCTTTCTCTGCAATATAGCTGTGATCTCCCATCCTCTGTTTCTATTGCAGGACACCATCTACAAATACGAGAATTGATCCCTACACCACGACAATATAGAAATTGCTGGCGCTTCGGTCACTCAGCGAAATATTGCAGGTCCGTGGCAGAATGCCCGGTCTGTGGTGCTGTTGACCATACCGAGCCATCTTGAAGCCAACCTCGAGCTTATTCTCGCCTTTCCTCGAATTTCTTAATGGAACGAAAAATCCGCTGTCTCAAAAACAAAGGTTTCTCTTTAACCATGGCAGTCTCCCATCTCTTCCTCCAAGGGAGACTTCCACGGCTTTCATATTCTAAGAGTTATTAGGCGACCTGTAACCTCGGTGGTACTTTCACAATCTCCTCTGTAGCCACAAGTTCCATGGTCACATTTGTATTTAACTCTTTTACAGCCCTGGGCTCCGAGGTCCCTACCTCGTCGATTCCTACTTTCCGTGTCTTCATATTTTCGCTCGCATATTTCTGTCTACACAGCTTTCCACAACTACACCATCACCTCGTATCACTTCTTCTCCAAAGTCTAAAACATTGCTAAAGTTCAAATCTCTTTTAGTCCCTCAATCACTTATCATTCCCAAACATTTTCCTTTTACAGTCTCTGAGCCTAGTCCTTCACCCCTTGTTGTATATGCTTCGTGTGTGTGGGTTCATCCTCCCCCTCATACAGTTCCTGCCTCTCCTGTCCCCTCCAAAGTGTCTTCCCAAGCTACCTCTAACTTCTCATCCCCCCTCTTCGGTAATTCCCACTGTCTCTCCAGTCTTTACCCACTCTTCATCTTCTACCTCTGATATTGTACTACTTACACCGATCTCCCTCTCATCACTCCTTCAGACCTTAGTCAACCTTCTTCCCAACTCATTTCTTCGCAGCATTTCAATCCTTCGCTCCTTATAAAATATCCGCTAACTCTGCATGTGGGCTTTACTAACCCTACTAGTCCGTAGACACCCATTGCTTCATGTTGCCGGTATATGTCTATTCACAAATCATGACTTAGTGTTATTCGTAGCCCAAGGGGTAATCGAGGTGAGCTTCACGTGTTACTCTCCCAGTTTTCCTCTGTGTCTGTTTAAAATTGCGCCGTCTGTTATCTGTCCCGTATCGGGCTTTATCCTATTGCATTCATCGGATCCTTTTCCAAATGGGACTTTTAATGAAAGTGCGCTTCTTGTATGCACCATTACACCAAACACTCAGATCTTTGTTCAAACTTCGTGTCAGACCATTTTTGGTGAGGAACCTTCTTCTTCTTCCCATAATGAACTCTTATAATTCTTTTCGCGGTTTTAACCGCGGCTTCATATACAATCCCTCAAACCTCGAGTAGGCACTCTCAGAAATGCGTGTCTTGGTGATCTCCTAATTGTGTTCGTGCAGTGCGATAGAAACGTGCTGCGTGGGGCCGATATCGTTACAATAGGACCACAGAGCGGCTCCTTAATTTTAAGTGTGTGAGAGCTGTACCCCGACATATAATCCGTGAAACAAAACGCACTTGTTGGCGGGATTATCTGTCTACCGTAACTTCCACTTCTCTGCCAGAGAGTTGGCGCCTCTATACTTTTCTTCTAGCAGAGAAGAGTCTTATAATGTGCTTTTTATGCTTCCAGAACTTGAGTCAACACTTTCCGCTTGCCGACCGTCGGCAGTTGGACTGATGGCATTCATATTAGTATGGCATTCATATCACTGTTACATCCGTCAGCTCTCGTAGTCCACTTACGTCTTCTTAATCTGGTTTGGTAGAAAAGGGGCTCTTCCCTATCCATGGAAAACTGTCATTGTTCTGCCTTTTTCTAAACCGGGTACTTTGGGCCATGATGCCTCCCACTATCTACCCGTTGTTCTTACCAGTGCAGTTTGCAAGTTGATGTAACGTATAGTAAACAGACGTTTAGTATGGTAGAGACCACACTTTCTTGTCTTCGCATTGGGCACACACATCTCACTCGTGGGTATTTCATGTAAAGGGGCCCAGGTCTACTCTGTAAAGATTGTCAGGTTCGAATTTCAGGCTGCCATGTTCTATTAGACTGTCCTGTCTACCAGCGAGCACTCAAGATTTATATCCGATGTCGTCAAGGCTCTACTGTCCTTATTTTACTCTCCCTCATAGCTGATGGTCCCACTTTTGACACACTCACATTTTGATACAAACAGATATATTACACAAACTTTGATTATACTTCCTTTAGCACTTCACATCGCCCTTACTTGCTTATAGCACGTCCTGCCCTGCAGCGCTGTATGACCCTTGTGAGTTTAGTGCTTAGTTATGATTATAATATTAGTAATAATAAAGGGTTGAGATGAAGCAGAGAAAAAATTGGAAACCGAATACTCAAACGAACCAGAGGAGGAGAATCTACCACCACCCAACAACCCACCCACCTGCATCTCTCTCTCTCTCTCTCTCTCTCTCTCTCTCTCTCACTCACTCTCCTCTCACACACACACACACACACACACACACACACACACACAGGGGCCAGGAGCTCGGACTCGACCCCCGCAACCTCAACTAGGTGAGTACACACATCAACGTGAAGTTGATGAGAAGAATTAAATCGGACGAGGATGAGGCAGGACTGCAAAGAGACCTGGACAGGCTGGACATGTGGTCCAGCAACTGGCTTCTCGAATTCAATCCAGCCAAATGCAAAGTCATGAAGATTGGGGAAGGGCAAAGAAGACCGCAAACAGAGTATAGGCTAGGTGGACAAAGACTACAGACCTCACTCAGGGAGAAAGACCTTGGGGTGACCATAACACCGAGCACATCACCGGAGGCACACATCAACCAAATAACCGCTGCAGCATACGGGCGCCTGGCAAACCTGAGAATAGCGTTCCGATACCTTAATAAGGAATCGTTCAAGACACTGTACACTGTGTATGTTAGACCCATACTGGAGTATGCAGCACCAGTCTGGAACCCACACCTGGTCAAGCACGTCAAGAAGTTAGAGAAAGTACAAAGGTTTGCAACAAGGCTAGTACCAGAGCTCAAGGGAATGTCGTACGAGGAAAGGTTAAGGGAAATCGGACTGACGACACTGGAGGACAGATGGGTCAGGGAGACATGATAACGACATACAAGATACTGCGGGGAATAGACAAGGTGGACAGAGATAGGATGTTCCAGAGAGGGGACACAGGGACAAGGGGTCACAACTGGAAGCTGAAGACTCAGACGAGTCACAGGGACGTTAGGAAGTATTTCTTCAGTCATAGAGTTGTCAGCAAGTGGAATAGCCTAGCAAGTGAAGTAGTGGAGGCAGGAACCATACATAGTTTTAAGAAGAGGTATGACAAAGCTCAGGAAGCAGAGAGAGAGAGGATCCAGTAGCGATCAGTGAAGAGGCGGGGCCAGGAGCTGAATCTCGACCCCTGCAACCACAATTAGGTGAGTACAATTAGGTGAGTACACACACAGGACTACAAAGAGATCTGGACAGGCTACAAGCCTGGTCCAGCAACTGGCTCCTTGAATTTAACCCTGCCAAATGCAAAGTCATGAAGATTGGGGAAGGGCAAAGAAGACAGCAGACACAATATAGTTTAGATGGCCAAAGACTGCAAACCTCACTAAAGAAAAAAGATCTGGGGGTGAGTATAACACCGAGCATATCTCCTGAGGCGCACATCAATCAGATAACTGCTGCAGCATACGGGCGCCTGGCAAACCTACGGATAGCGTTCCGATACCTCAGTAAGGATTCGTTTAAGACTCTGATACACCATCTACGTCAGGCCCATACTGGAGTATGCAGCACCAGTTTTGGAATCCACACCTAGTCAAGCACGTCAAGAAATTAGAGAAAGTGCAAAGGTTTGCAACAAGACTAGTCCCAGAGCTACGGGGATTGTCCTATGAAGAAAGGTTGAGGGAAATCGGCCTGACGACACTGGAGGCCAGGAGGGTCAGGGGAGACATGATAACGACATATAAATACTGCGCGGAATAGACGAGGTGGACAAAGCGGGATGTTCCAGAGATGGGACACAGACACAAGAGGTCACAATTGGAAGTTGAAGACTCAGATGAATCAAAGGGATGTTAGGAAGTATTTCTTCAGTCATAGAGTAGTCAGGCCATGGAATAGCCTAGAAAGTGATGTGGTGGAGGCAGGAACCATACATAGTTTTAAGGCGAGGTATGATAGAGCTCATGGGGCAGGGAGAGAGAGGACCTAGTAGCAATCAGCGAAGAGGCGGGGCCAGGAGCTGTGACTCGACCCCTGCAACCACAAATAGGTGAGTACAAATAGGTGAGTACACAAAGACAGGATGTTCCAGAGATGGGACACAACAACAAGGGGACACAGAAGTTGAAGACACAGATGAATCACAGGGATGTTAGGAAGTATTTCTTCAGCCACAGAGTAGTCAGGAAGTGGAATAGTTTGGGAAGCGATGTAGTGGAGGCAGGATCCATACATAGCTTTAAGCAGAGGTATGATAAAGCTCACGGTTCAGGGAGAGTAACCTAGTAGCGACCAGTGAAGAGGCGGGGCCAGGAGCTAGGACTCGACCCCTGCAACCTCAACTTGGCGAGTACAACTAGTTGAGGTGAGTACACACACACACGCACACGCGCACGCACACACCACACACACACACACACACACACACACACACACA